TCTTTGAGATTTAGAGAGGAACATAAAATATTTCACATGGCAAATCAAAGAAAAGACAAAACATACGTGAGGATAAGAGAGTCACTAACTTTTCTTGCAAGTGTTAAATTCAGAAGGAAAAGAAGAAACCTTGAACAATTTGATAAGATACTCTTTTTTTTTTTTGCTGTATACTGAAGAATGCTCTGAAGCTCTTGAGGAGAACGATGCTGCTACTGCTGCTGTTGGTATTTGGAAGTGAAGCTACTGTTGTTTATTAAGGGCTTACTGAGTACCAGATACATATTGAATGCTTAGCATACATTTTTTCATTTAATCGTGGCCACAATAGGCCCTGACAATAACTGTGTCTGAGGTAGGTGATATTATTCCCATTGTACACATGATGAAGCTAGAGCTCAGAAAGGTTAAGTAACTTTTCCGGGGCTACACAGCTAAATGCAGCTAGTAAATGGCCTGAACTCACCTTTGCTCATTTATTCAATCAATCATTTTTCAGGTACTCCCTGAGCATGTTTCATCAGCCATTGTTCTTACTTGTAAGCAAGAGGAATTTTGGTAGATTTTAGCGGAAGAGGAATTTATTAAAGGGATTCTGGATTGCTCACAGAAATGCCAGGAAAGTTGGAGAGCCACATGTGGAAACTTCATTGTAGAAATAATGGTCAGAATATGGCTGCCTCTGCTGCCACTGCCTTTGCCATATTCTAGACATTTCAGCTTGCGATGCTCATGCACTGGGGGCTGGATGCTGGATGCTGCTTGCAAACACTGCCTCCTCCTCAATCTTGCTGCAGCCACCATTGTCCCCCAGAGGTTCCATTATCCCTGCTTCTTGGCATCACTAACTCTGGATTCAAAGCCTAGATTGATGCCTCTGATGAATGGAGCATGAGTGCATGGGCTGCTCCAGCTGCTAGAGTGGTGAAGGACACACTTCCTGCACTTGCTTTTTCTCTCCTGGGTGGTGAGCTCTGTTCCTGAGACTCATTCAATGAGGACGTCCCTAAGTGTGGTAAAGACATTCAAATGCTGGGCAGCCACAAGAGCAACAAATGATCATCTGTCCATCTACTGTATGAATGACACCGCTAGACATGGTGGAAATACAAAAGTAAATCAGGCCCAGAACTTGCCCTCAGAGACCCGATAGGCTCACAATTCTCTTCCTTTTAACTTTTACATTTATTTGGTATCATAGTTTGCAAAAGCTCTTAAACTTTCATTGTTTCATCATATCCTTCTGACAGCCGTTGTAAGGTAGGCAAAACTGAGCCGTCCTCTGACTCCAGGCCCAGTGCTGAGTCTACTAGAAGTAATACATATGCACAAATATCATGCTTCATGGGTTCCGAGGCTCACGATTTCCCCTCACATTTTAACACTTCTAAAATTAGGATACATCTCATAATCAACTGTATACCATAGTTTAATTGGCAGCTTGTTTATTCCTAGCAGTATGTAAAATAAGGGAGCATCTTCAGTTGATGAAGTTGTAGATTCGTTGGAACACAGTGACTAAACAGACATAAAGGGGAGCTGGGAGATCCTGGAGGGCTTTGTGGAGGAGCTGTACAAGCCCACTATCCTTTTATCCCTTATCTGCAGCTCTAAATTCCAAGAAGCTCTGAAAACAAAGTGTTGCTTTTTTTTTTTCAAGTTTGGCACCAACACTCATTTGGCAGCAAAACCTAACCTGAACTGATGTGAAGTAATTTATAATTATAAGTAATTTATAAATATAGTATGTAATTATAACTAAATTATAATTTCAGTTATTCTACTTACTGTGAAGATTAATGTTTAGCTGCAGAAATATTAATGTTTGATAATGGTGTGTTATCCCAGCCCCTGGTAGGGAGGGAGAAAGGAAAGTGCTATCTGATATTTGGTCCATGCACTGCACTGTCTTTCTAAAATCTGTAAAATTCTGAATTTTGGAACATATATGGACCCAAAGGTTATGGATAAGGGACTCTGGATTGCAGCTGAACTGGGGCTTGATTGGTGGATAGAATTTAGATGTTTGGAGATATAGAAGGGCTTTTAGGAGGAGGAAAAAGCATCATTTCACACCAGCTTGGGTCTAGGTATAAGTCATTACCCAATCATTTAAATTTGCTTTAACAGCAGAGAAGACCTGCATTTTCGATAACTATTCTCCTTTAATTCATGATTCATACACAACTGGAGGGTTGGACTTTCTGGGTTTGGCTTTTCCCCCACAGTATTCATCTCCTCCCTCCTTTTTCCTCAAATCACCTGACTTCTCCGAAAACTGTAATTCACCCTTTGGCTGAAAAAGAGCATTAGGCAATCAGTGAAATTCCTCATTCCTCCTTTCTCCCGCCGTAGCCCCAGATAGAAGAATCTCAGGCATAAGAGAAGTATGCAGTTCTGGTTTCAAAAGCAGAGGGAGCTCCAAGATCAAGGTTGAGTTATCCTTTCCCTATGTTGTGGTCTCCCAGCCCCCTCTTGTTTAAATTAGGGAATTTCAGACATGCACACTGGGATAGAAAATCATATGAACAGAACCAGGACAGGGAGGCCGGCGGAGTGTCCTGCAGAGGGAGCGTCCAAATCCTGTGCTTCTCTCCCTGGGAGTCGGCAGGGTCCTCCAGCATGCCCACTGGCAAGAGAGAGGGGACTGACACACTTGCTCCCATCAGCTTCTGAAGGTAAAACCTTAAAAAAACGAAGAGCAGAGCTTTGATGGAGGAAAAAAAGAAAGGCAGAAAACTTCACATATGAAGGTTTCAGGCAAAGATGGAGGGCTGGAAAGAGCAGAATAAAAACAAGGCAAAATATAGACAACCTATTTCTCTTAGACTGACCTCATCCACCCTCATGTCACCCCACTATCTACCACTGTTTTCAGGGTTAGAAACATTCGGTAAGACTTTCTTAGGAGCCGTGGGAAGAGCTCTTGTCTTTCTAGTAAAGGAGAAAAGGACCTGGAAATTAATGTAGAAAATTGAGGGAATGCTTTTCCTTTCCTTTTACATTTCTTGTCATTCAGCTGCCCATTCCTCCTTCCCCACCCAACCCTGTCTCAGACCTCTTCTTCCAAGGTCACTGCTCTACCCTAGTGAAAGAAACTCATTGTTCCATCAATGGTCATTCGGAGCATCAAAAGAAATGTCTGCAATAATAAGCATAGTGAAGAGAGTTGGTTTGAAGTGATAGGGGGCATTGTCAAAGGAGGAGGGAGAAATGTCCTGGGTGGATGGTCGTGATGGGGACAGACTCCTGAGATCATGGGTGGAAATGGGGATATTGTTCTGTGAGGGCAGGAGAGAGACTGATAGAGTGGGGGTGAGGGTGGAAGGGTGTGGGTGAGGAGGAAGAACGGAGGAGGAAGAAAACTGGGAGAAAGTTTTCTTTTGGAGAAAAAGTGGGATAAGATCCAGAGAAGCAATGGGAGAGGGATAAGAAAACTTAATTGAAGTAGGACCAGGAAGGGTGTGAGCGGATTGATGTCATATGGCAATGACTAGTGACATAGCTCTATTTAACATGTGTATTATTCTTATGAAAGTGACCCTGAACCCCTGGTGACCCTCTACCACCAAAGCTGGTGCCTATGTTTGTTAGACAAATATAGCCTGGCCTGCCACCCCTTTAGCTCCAAAGTCCAGAAGTGCAGAGAGCCAGGACCAAGACATGTACTGCTCACCAGGGATGGACAAATTGTCAGCGATGTGGTAAGTGACCATGAGTCTACAGAGATGTTCAGGGGCTCCATTCTCTTCATCTTCTTAAGAAAACGACTCAGATCTGAAGCCTGGGTTTTGGTTTGACCTAGGTCTTTTTGCCTTACTCTAACTTAAAATTCTCCATGTGCTGTTGCCCTTCTTCCTGTGACAAATGCTTGAGCTTGGCATTGGTTTGCTGGTACCTGTGTCACCCACCTCTCCATATGCTTTTTTTTCCAGGTACATCGTCCTTTTTTCCCTTTTGGCATGGGTTTCTGCTGAGCCTACTATGTATGGGGAGATCCTGTCCCCTAACTATCCTCAGGCATACCCCAATGAGGTAGAGAAATCTTGGGATATAGAGGTTCCTGAAGGGTATGGGATCCACCTCTACTTCACCCACCTGGACATAGAGCTGTCAGAGAACTGCGCATATGACTCAGTGCAGGTATGTTATAATGAGTGCATACAGGATAAGGCTGGGGTGGTTAAATGAGAAAAATATGAGAAGGGAGCGCCACAGGCATACAGTGAACTAGAGTCAAATAGTCCTAAGGTGCTATGTGTTCAATTTTCTCTGTTTCTTTTTTTTCTGACATCCATATCAAAATACTTTCTTTTCCTCACTTCTTTTTGACTCTTAGATAATGTCAGGAGGCCTTGAAGAAGGGAAAATCTGTGGACAGAGGACCAGCAAGAATCCCAACTCCCCAATTGTGGAAGAGTTCCACATCCCATACCATAAACTCCAGGTGATCTTTAAGTCAGATTTCTCCAATGAAGAGCGTTTCACTGGGTTTGCTGCATACTATGTTGCTGTAGGTAAGGCTCACCCTTCTCTATGTGACTTACCAATCCAGCTAAAAAATTAGAAGCAGGCCAAACATTGATTGAGCAATGCAGTGGATGAGGATTCTGTTTATAACTCTTGTGAAGTGTTGACTTGGCTTGGATCCCTCCATGAATTGCCTTTGTGAAATTCAAACACATGATCATATCTTAGTGGTGATGATAATAATGGTGACAATAGATAATAAACAGTAATTTATTGAGAACCACTATGAAGTGGACATGATATCAGGAATTTTACCTATATTAATTTAATCTTCACTTCAACTCTTCAAGGTAGGTATTGTTATCTCCATTTAAAGATAAGGAAAGTGAGGATTAAGAAAGCTAAAAAATTTGCCAAGACTCACACAAGGAATGTATGGTATTCGAACTCATTCAATAAATGGCAAACAAACCTTCAAATTCTGTGTGCTTTTCTACCTATCTCCAGGTTAAAATAAATTTAGAACATCTCACAAAGCCAAACTATTGTTTAGATTCAACAGAAGTGCCAATATCATATAAAGTAATAAGTGTACTAATTGTTCCTCCTTATAGAAGACATAGCATCATGTTTAGCTTGCAGAGTGTTTTCTTTGGAGCTGAAATGCTCTGTTTGTAAGAAAGATCAAGAGTCTCTGGCATTGAGAGCTTCCTTACAGTTGTGCAATGGTAGAGCACATCTTTGGAATCACATTTCAGGAGAGCAATACAGAATAATACCATCACAAAATGTGATTCATGGAAGGTCTTTAAGCAACAGGACTTTCTTACTTTTTCTTGCCTTTGTAGTTTTGGGTTTAAATGTATATAGACCCAAAGGTCCATATATGTTTCTTCTTGACCTTAATCATTCTATATTTTTTGTAGATATAAATGAGTGCACAGACTTTGCAGATACCCCTTGTAGCCACTTCTGCAACAACTTCATTGGTGGTTACTTCTGCTCCTGCCCCCCAGAATACTTTCTCCATGATGATATGAAAAACTGTGGAGGTGAGCTTGGCATCAAGAGAGGTGCATGGTCCCTAGGATTTGGAATGGCTTGAGGCTTCAGTAAAGGCTTTATCTACCCTTCCAATTTGATTAGCCTCAGCCTTGATTTGACATCTATTTTTAGTTATCTATAAGCTGAGTGGGAGCCACAAAAGTGAGGAAGATAAGGTTACAGGGTCAAGTTAATTAATTGGAGAAGAGAGATAGATGCCTATGAAGAGTCTACCTGGAGTGCCTCATAACTATGAAAGCAATGTGATGGAAACCCAATAAACATTGGAGATCTTCACTAATATATACTGGGTGTGTAATTGCTATATATGGACTCCAGACAGGGACTGTCAGTTTATAAGAGAAGTCTAGAATAGGGCAGGATCTTCTTTGCTTGAGCCTATATTTGATTCTCCCTTTCTCTTTTTCTCTCTTAGTCAATTGCAGTGGGAATGTTTTCACTGCACTGATTGGGGAGATCGCAAGTCCCAATTATCCTGATCCCTACCCAGAGAACTCAAGGTGTGAATATCAGATCTTGTTGGAGGAAGGGTTCCAAGTGGTGGTGACTGTGCGAAGAGAAGATTTTGATGTGGAACCAGCTGATTCAGAGGGCAACTGTGCTGACAGTTTAGTTGTGCGTGATGGATGATTAATTTTCCTCCCAACTCACACCAGAGATTTCCCCTGGAAGACAAATTATTTTTCTTTCTCTCTCTTCTATTCTTTTCTCCCCCTTTGTCTTATTTTATATTATTTTTATTTATCTCCCTTACTTTTATCCTATTTTACCTCTTTATTTTAGTTCTTTTTCTCTTCTGACTTCCCCGTTTCGTGTCCTTTCAGTTTGTTACAAGAGACCAGCAATTTGGTCCTTACTGTGGTAATGGATTCCCTGGGCCACTAAATATTGAATCCAAGAGTAATGCTCTTAATATCATCTTCCAAACTGACCAAACAGGGCAAAAGAAAGGCTGGAAACTTCGTTATCATGGAGATCGTGAGTAATCTAAAAGTTACTCTTTGGTTGGTGGTAACAAAGTCCTGGGCAGTGTAAAATCAAAACAGGTAGACTGTTGTATGGAAAGGTCTCCCGAGATACTCCTCTTCCTCAGCAAGATCTAAGCCTGTCATTGGTTGCTAGAAATGCCTCAATGTCTAGGAATACTTCAAGGGACCTGTGAGTGCAGACAGCTTGGGGGTGGTTAGTTAGTAATGCCCTATTGTTTTAGACAGCTCCATATTGGAATGTTAAGTATCAGGAACAAGGATGACTGAATGACTTTATAAAGTGTGAAGATGATATAAATAGAACAGAGATTATTCACCTATTTGGTTAATATTTTCTTCCTATATTTTTTAAGCAATCCCCTGTCCTAAAAGCGTGTCTGCCAATTCTGTTTGGGAGCCTGAGAAGGCAAAATATGTGTTCAAAGATGTGGTGAAGATAAACTGTCTTGAGGGGTTTGAAGTTGTACAGGTAAAGTACTATCATGGGCTTCTCCCTAATCTCTAGGTCGGGATGAGCATACTGGAATTGTTCAATTGTTTACTGAATGCCCTTGTTTGAACAAGTTATAACACCTTCTCTATTAATAGAACAGCTCAGGATCTTTAGTCTTTCCTTGTGAGTCATGGAGTTCCTTGGCTAGCTTGGCATTCTCTTTCTGCCTACAGTCTTCTTGGGGGGAAGGGGAGCTGATATACTGGCACAAAGTTGTATTTTAGCCCCAACTTCTGGGTGCTTTTGGTCATTCTGCTAAGATAGCCCCAGGCTTTTTGTGGTGAGGATTCCTCCTTGATCCAAGGCCAGAAATTGATCCTGTTTTTGATTTTGATACTCCATATAAATTATAAATTAATGGTGATGTCTATCATTCTCCAGGGGAGTGTTGGCTCAACATCTTTCTATTCTATTTGTCAAAGCAATGGAAAGTGGAGTAATTCCAAATTGAAATGTCAACGTATGTATCTCTTTAAAATGGAACTCTTTTTTTTTTTTTTTCCTTCCAGTGGGAATTAAAAGATTGACAACTTAGGATTCACATGCATGGTTTCCTCTTAGACTTTTGAGAGGGAGTTGGGTTTTTGAAGGGAAGCCAGTCATGGAGACCCAGCCCCAATCTGGTCCCAGGCCAGCCAAGCAGATTTCTTCTAAAGAAAGGGGCTGTGGGATTGATAGAGTTAATGGCACCATTTAGGTCCATTCTTGGCTTCTGCAGGGGCTTTCACAAACCACTGAGAACCAGGTTTCTCCTTGTAGCTTTCAAGGGGCTATCTGAATTGGCAGGACTCAGTGGGCTGGGGAATTGAGTGACGTCAGTTGGAAAGCATGACTACAGAGAGGCTGGCATGATGAGAATCATCCCAGATGTGCTCATTGATGTGGGAGTGGGGAAGGAGTGAAGAACATGGCTGGGAAGTTGTAACTGGCCTAAGGACCAATGACTTCCTGGGAGGAAGTGGTTATCCTGACCATCGCTCTTCTGTCTTCCTTTCGTAGCTGTGGACTGTGGCTCTCCTGAACCCATTCAGCATGGTAAATTCGAGGACCCAGAACATACTTTATTTGGTTCTGTCACTCGCTACAGTTGTGATGAACCATATTACTACATGCAAGATGAAGAAAGTGGTAGGTTTCTTTGACTAGAGAAAAGAAGAGAAAGGGTGAGAGTGTTGGAAGGTGAATAGCACAATCTTTCTGGTTTGGAGAGAGTTTGGAGAGGAATGAAGAAGATGAGATGGACTTTGTTCATCCTCTTGGCTTGGTCTAAAGATATAGTTTTCATATGGGGCAAAGTGAGTTCTATAGGATCATTCACAGTGAATCAAAGAGGTCACCTAGCTCAGTTTTACAATTATGGCAGGAATTTCCCCAACAATACTCATTTTCATGTGGTTATTCAGCATTTGACCAATTATTTAATGTAGAACCATAGGAGTAATTCTTCCAGCTCCAAGTCACCATACTGTGATGACTGGCTTTCTTGATGGAGAGGCCTTGGTAGTGCTAGATAAAGGCCTGGATGAGATACAATACGTCCTACTTCATTACTTTTTAAATTTAATTTTAATTAATTAATTTTACTTCCCCTCTTGAAGTACTTTCCAAGTGTTTGTCATAACCTTCTTCCTTCTGCTTTGGAGACTATTCCTTTCCCTCCATAGACAAGATAAGAGGCCAGAGAGATGGTTTGGAAGATGGTCTCAAGGTTCTTTTCTAATTGATTTGACCTGAATTCTTCAAATCCCAGAGTAGCTGAGGCTCTGAATGAAAGGGGGAAATGGAAAAAAGAAGATATGGTGGTGACTGTATCCTGTGTCCCTTGTGCTCTTCCAGGGGAGTATCACTGCGCTGGAAACGGGAGCTGGGTGAATGAGGTGCTGGGCACAGAGCTTCCAAGATGTATCCCAGGTAATCAGGGCTCAGGCTTGAGTAGAGACCATAACCATAGGTACAGGTGAGTGGGGTCGCTTCTGAAAATGGCTATAATCCTTTTGGGAAAGAACTTAACAATCTGGGCCTGCCAGAGTCTAGTTCAGTGAGGTGGAGACAATAAAATGAAGGATTGCAGACTGATCAGAGCTGAGTGGAAGAAGACTCTTAAGCAAAGCCAGGATAATAATGATCCTAGTAGTAAGAACAGTGTTATTGAGAGCTATGGACTGAGCTAATTACTTGCATTTATTATCTCATTGATGTTCTTGCAACAACCCTATGAGTTAGATATTATTAGTTTCGTAATACAGATGAGTGAATTGCATACAAGTTCACATGCAAGAGTTAGTACATACACGATTTAGTAAGGGGCAAGAGTAGTCTTTAAAATCAGGTCTGTCTGTGTCCAAAGCCTATTATGCTCAACTCAGAGTCCATTCAGGCTGACTAGCAAGGAATTTAGGTAAGCCAACTTCATCTGAAATAAAATTCAGTTTTAGTTATACTGAGTAATAGCAATGTGATTTGAACCTGGAACCAGTCGATGAGGAGTGAGATGAAAGATGAAAGAAGAGAATTCTCTCTCTGCCCTACTTCCATAGATTACTAGGAAGGACTCAGATGCAATTAGGACTTCAGTAAAGAAGACGATATGCATTTGTTCTGGACCTCAGAAGGAGGAAGCTTGTCTTACCCCCATCTGTATGAGGAAAGAGTTTCCCAGCTTGGTTCCCCATGTGCCGAGTGTGGAGTGAGGTGTGGGTCAAGCTGTTCACAGTGTGAGGCACTAGTAATTCACACACTGCCTCAATTTACCCAGTCTTTCCCACAAGCCTACTTGTGGCATGGCAACATGGGATGTTTAATCATTCGGTAAGTTCAGGATGAGTCAGATATCGAGATAGTTGGTTGACCAAATACAGGGTTGGCTATATTGTGCTAGAGAACTCTGAAGCTTGGCAGGTTTTTGAGTGTTTGGAGGATTTGCAGGAGGCCAGCAATCTGTTTCCTGCTCCCTCCCCATCTTGTTCTTGTTCCTTCCTAGTCTGTGGCACCCCCAATGAGGTCTTTGAAGGAAAACAGAGGATATTTGGAGGAACCTATGCAAATATTCAAAACTTCCCCTGGCAAGTCTTCTTTTCGAACCCACGGGCTGGTGGGGCTCTCATTGATGAGTACTGGGTGCTGACAGCTGCCCATGTTGTGGAGGTAAATCAGAACCCAGTAATGTATGTTGGGTCCACCTCATTGACTGTTGCACACCTGGAAAAAGCCCAGATGCTCATTGCTGATCGTGTGTTTATTCATCCGGGTTGGGAATTCCTAGAGAACCCAGAAACACGGAAGAATTTTGACAACGACATTGCTCTGGTGCGGCTGAAAGACCCAGTGAAAATGGGACTCACTGTCTCCCCTATTTGCCTGCCAGGCACCTCCTCAGAATACAACCCCTCGGTGGGAGACCTGGGACTGATCTCAGGATGGGGCAAAACGGAAGTAAGAGATCATGTTATAATGCTCAGAGGGGCAAAGGTGCCTATAGCTCCCTTGCTAAAGTGCCAAGAGGCGAAGGCAAAAAATCCGAAAGTGAGTGTAAATACCTATGTTTTCACGGATAACATGATCTGTGCTGGAGGAGAGAAGGGTGTTGACAGCTGTGAAGGAGACAGTGGTGGGGCCCTTGCTATACAGGACCCCAATGAAAAGAACCCCAAATTCTATGTAGCTGGTCTGGTGTCCTGGGGTCCGCAGTGTGGGACCTATGGGATATACACACGAGTGAAGAACTACATTGACTGGATAACGAAGACTATGCAGGAAAACAGTACCCCCAGTATGGACTAATGCATGTGTATACCTAGCTTCTTCAAGGGCTAGGATCAATCTGTTGCTTTCTGTTCCTCACTATATTCCCATTATTTCATCATAATTGATGAAAGATACGGGAATATGATTTAAATAGAACTTGGTTGTTGGGATATATGGCTGGAGGTAGTATTTGATCATAACGTTGTGTCGGTCATTCAATGTGGTCTGAATCTGTGGATAACATGGGAAGGGCTCTGGTATCTTGTGCTATTCCAGAGGGGGCCCATTTTCATGAGGATTACCTGGTGTTACAGTTCTGACTCTGAAACTTACCGTTGAGAATACCCTTGATTTTTTGTCTCCCCTTTACCTGTTCCAAGGTCCACTTACTTTACCATTCTCAATGTCTATTATCTACTTGTAATAAAGCATGTTTATAACCTAGTTCTGGCTGACTTGTCTTATTCTACATCAAGACCTCAGCACCATAGAAGAAGAGTGGGATGAGAGAGCTGTAGTGTCATGAAAACTCAGGCATCTAGCAGCTAATATTTAATTGTCATGAAAATAGGGAATTTAACTTTGCTCCTCTCTGCCAGTTAAAATTTACTGAATATTGGGGATTAGCATGAATACCATCAACACAAGCTGCCGTATTCAGCTTTGGAAACTCATTAAACATAACCAAATCTCTTTGAGAAGTCCACACACGACAATTAGAAAGGGCTGTTTAAAATCTTTAATGATAAAAATTTGAGATATAAATTGTTTCAATATGTCTCCTGAAAATTAAATGTCTTATAGTACTCACTTTTATAATACAATATTATGACTTAATAAAAAAGAAGAACAAAAGAAGTTCGGCATGCTCCCATCTGCTTTTCTGGTGGTTTTGGTCAGTTTGTTAGTTAAGCAACGATATCTTCTCTGGATTGAACTCTGAGCCAAGATGTTATAGCTGAAAGTCTCGGTGAGGATGGACCCAAAGGTTCTCCCTTCTGTTTTCTTCTCAAGGGGATGGAACACCCGCCCCCGCCACAAAACTCTTTCTCCCCCTAAAATGGTTGGTGATGAAAAATAACCACACAATAGAGACTAGTATTTTTTTAAACTGAGGATAGGAAAGCTATCTTAGAGTGGCTAAGCTAACAGTGTGTCTTATGAAAGCTATAGGATGAGAGTAAGAGTTCTGGAGGACTCTGGTCTGTTTGATGTAACTCATGGCTTTCAGGAGAGCGATTTTTACCAGAAGCCAAAAAGGGCCTCTTTACCAGAGCCAAAAAAGGCCTTTGATCTTCCACAGACCAAAAGGTCTAAATTCAGTAATTGACCTTAGACTGGAGCCAAACACATGATGAAGTAACCAGAACTTTAATTGAAGAGTCCGAAGAACCAAAGGGGAATTGCAACAGGGAACTTCTGGAAAGATTGTGTCAAGTCAACCAAGCAGCATAAAGCCATTTACATTATTTCTTAACTGTATAGCTTGTAACCACCTTTCCCCGCCTTCTTGTCATTACACGGGCAATGTAATTGACAGTGTACAGTGTTTTGGGTGGGAGAAGGGGGATTCCTCTAAAGAAAAAAAAATTAGAAAATATTAAGATTAAGAAACACGTTTGTGATGTAGAATTTTCTTTCTTTTTTATAACTGAAGTAATAGAAAAAAAATTAACCTGGACTATGATAAGTAACAGAAAAAGGAAGTCTATCCCCGCCAGAGAGAATCTTGAGTCTATTTGAGTTTTGTTCTTGCTGATAGGCTGAGATGTTTGTGAGAAAGTCCCCTCATTGTTGCTGCCTTGTACAGTGCAATGGGTATGGTTTTTGCATTGTTTTTTTTTGCACCACAATATCATTTCCTTGGCTGGAAGGGTGAATGGCAGGGAGGGGTTCTGCATGAATCATCATCAGAGACTTTCAGAGCTGGAAAGGGCTCATCATCAATCAAGGTCTAGAAAGTCATCATGGCTTAAAGTGTATCGGTCATACTGCTTTGCAAGTCACTTGGGAACAATGTGACTTCTGCTTCACCTGAAACCCAGGAAGGGACTTAACTTTTTAAAGAAGTGAATTATCACATTTCTTTGGTCAGAAGAAAATGGACTGGTGGGTCAGTTCCTCAAGACAGGGAAAGAAGGAAGTGCCCAGGGGCCAAGAAAACTCGATGAGAAGGAACCCAGTTCAAGTTGCACTAGCTCATATATAACAAGAGACAAGGACCCAGAAATCCCACTTCTGGGTATTTACTTTTGTAAATAGTACTTCAAAGGGATATGTGTGTTTATTGCAATATGTTTATTGCAGCATTATTTACAATAGCCAAGATATGGAGGCAACTTGGGTGTCCATCAATGAATGAATGGATAATGAAGAAGTGGTGCATATGCACAATGGAATATTACTTAGCCATTAAAAAAAATGAAATCTTGCCATCTGCAACAACACGAATGGTTCTAGAGGGTATTGCACTGAGTAGAGTAAGTTAGGCAGAGAAAGACAAATGTCATATGAGTTCACTTCTATGTGGAATCTAGAGAACAGGATAAACAATAAACAAAACATAAACAAGCTCGTAGAGACAGAGAGCATTTTGATGGTTGCTAAATGGAGTGGGGAGGTTGGAGGGATGGGTGAAAGGGGGAGGGAATTAAGAGGTACAAACTGGTAGTTACAAAATAACTAATGGGGATGTAGAGAGTTAAATATGGGAATATAGTCAATAGTATTATAACAATGTATGGTGTTAGATGCGTACTGGATTTATTGGTGTGATCACTTCATAAGTTATATAAATGTCTAATCACTACGGTGTATATCTGAAACTAATATAATATTGCATGTCAACTGTAATTTAAAAAATAATAATAGAAAAAAAACTGGACTAGCCCAGAAGGGGCTAGAGGAATTTTGGGACTCTCTAAAGTTGCTTTTATTGTGATTCCTAGAATCAGAAATATAGTCCATGAAAATATGTCTTTACACTTTCTGCATATCTGTTGTTTTTTAAAATTAAAAACATTAGAAAATTCTTTTTCAGCTTTATTGAGGTATAATTGACAAGTAAAACTACAATATGATAATTTGATATACATATATATTGTGAAAGGATTCTTTTCATCAAGTCAGTTAACACAGCCAGCATCTGACATATTTACCTTTAAAATTTCTTGGGGGGATGAGAATATTTAAGTTCTACTCTCATAGCAAATTTTAATTATACAATATAGCATTACCAACTATGGTCACCATGTTATACATTATATCCTCAGACCTTATTCATCTTATAAGTGAAAGTTTATATCCTTTTACCAACCTCTCCCTATCACCCCCACACCCCACCCCAGGAAGTCACTTTTCTATTCTCTGTTTCTATGAGTTTGACTTTTTTTTTTTTTTTTTTTAAAGATTCCACATAGTGATACCATGCAGTGCAGTATTTGCCTTTCTCTGGCTGGCTTATTTCATTTAGCATAATGCCCTCCAGATTCATCTATGTTGTCACAAATGACAGGATTTTCTTTTTTCTTTTTTAAGACTGAATAATATTCCATTATATATCATATATCATAAAATAAGATATATATTATAATTTATATGTGCATACAAATGTATAGAAATCATATTTTCTTGATCCATTCACCTGTTGACAGACACTTAGGTTGTTTTTATACTTTGACTATTGTGAATAATGCTGCAATGAACATGGGAATACATTGGATATATACCCAGAAGTGGGATCACTGGATCATATGGCAGTTCTATTTTTAGTTTCTTGAGAAACTGCCATACTGTTTTCAATAGTGGCTATATCAGCTTTCATTCCCAACAACAGTGTATAAGGGTTCTCTTTTCTCCACATCCTTGCATTCCTTTCTTTCTCTCTTTCTTTCTCTCTTTCTTTCTCTCTCTCTCTCTCGCTCTCTCTCTCTCTTTCTCTCTCTCTCTCTCGCTCTCTCTCTCTCTTTCTCTCTCTCTCTCTCGCTCTCTCTCTCTCTTTCTCTCTCTCTCTCTCGCTCTCTCTCTCTCTTTCTCTCTCTCTCTCTCGCTCTCTCTCTCTCTTTCTCTCTCTCTCTCTCGCTCTCTCTCTCTCTTTCTCTCTCTCTCTCTCGCTCTCTCTCTCTCTTTCTCTCTCTCTCTCTCGCTCTCTCTCTCTCTTTCTCTCTCTCTCTCTCGCTCTCTCTCTCTCTTTCTCTCTCTCTCTCTCGCTCTCTCTCTCTCTTTCTCTCTCTCTCTCTCGCTCTCTCTCTCTCTTTCTCTCTCTCTCTCTCGCTCTCTCTCTCTCTTTCTCTCTCTCTCTCTCGCTCTCTCTCTCTCTTTCTTTTTTGATAATAGCCATCCTAACAGATGTGAGGTAATATTTCATTGTGTTTTGACTTGCATCTTTCTGATGATTAGTGATTCTGAGTACCTTATCGTGTAATTGGCCATTTGTATGTCTTCTTTGGAAAAATGTCTATTCAGATTCTTTGCCCATTTTAAATTAGGCTATTTCCTTTTTCACTCTTGAGTTGTTTTAGGTCCTTGTGTATTTTGGATATAACCCCTTACCAGATATGTGGTCTGCAAATATTTTCTCCCATCTGGTAGGCTGTCTTTTCATTTGGTTGATAATTTCCTTTGCTGAACAGAAGATTTTAGTTTAATGTAGTCTCACTTGTTTATTTTTTGCTTTTGTTGCTTTTGCTTTTGGTGCAGGTCTTACATTCATGTCTTTAAGATTAAAAACTTTTTAAAGTTCATTTTTGTGTGTGGTCTAAGATAGGAGTCTAGTTTAATTTTTTTTTTTTTTTACATGTGGCAATCTAGTTTTTTCCAACACCATCAATTGAATAGATTATCCTTTCCCCATTGTATACTTTTGGCTCCTTTCTTACATATTCATTGACTATATATGTGTAGGTTTATTTTTGGGCTCTCTATTCTGTTTCATTAATCTATGTGTCTGTTTTTATGCCAATACCATACTGTTTTGATTATTATTGCTTTGTATTATATTTTGAAATCAAGAAGCATGATGCCTTCAGCTTTGTTCTGTTTTAAGATTGCTTTGGTTATTCAGGGTCTTTTGTGATTCTATACAAGTCTTAGGGTTATTTTTTTTATTTTTGTGGAAAATGCCATGGAATTTCTATAGGGATTGCTCTGAATCTATAGATAGTTTTGGGAGACATGGACATTTTACAATATTAATTCTTCCAATCTGTGGTCAAGGAATAACTTTCCATTAATTTGTGTCTCTTTCATTTTCTTTCATCAGTATTTAAAATTTTCACTGTGTAGATCTTTTACTTCCTTGGTTAAATTTATTTTTAAGTATTTTATTCTTTTTGATGCTATTGTAAATGGAGTTGTTATTTTAATTTCTCGTTCTGATAGTTTGTTGTTAGTGGATAGAAACACAACTGATTTTTGTACATTGACTTTGTATCCTGGTGGCATCT